AAATGCTCAACTTCACTAATCATCAGGGAGATGCAAATCAAAACCACACTGAGATACCACCTAACTCCAGTCAGAATGGCAATTATCAATAACTCAAAAAATAACAGTTGTTGGAGAGGGTGTGGCAAAAAGGGAACACTTCTACACTGTTGGTGGGAGTGTAAACTAGTTCAACCTCTGTAGAAAGCTGTGTGACGATTCCTAAAAGCTCTAAACATCGGCCTCCCAGATGACCCCGCAATCCTCCTACTGGGAATATACCCTAAAGAACTCAAATCACTCTATAAAAAAGATACCTGCACACGAATGTTTATTGCAGCATTGTTCACAATAGCAAGAACCTGGAAGCAACCATGCTGTCCATCAAAATAGGACTGGATTAAAAAAATGTGGTACATATACATGATGGAATACTATGCAGCCATAAAAAAGAACAAAATCATGAATTTTGCAGCAACCTGGATGGAACTAGTGTCTATAATACTGAGTGACCTTTCACAGAAACAAAGATCTGAGTATCACATGTCCTCACTCATATAGTGGACCTTGATCATCCAATCCAACGCACTACCATAAGAAAATGACTGACAGTGCTGGGAAACTATGGGGGGGATGGGACTAATGGTAGTAAACATCTGTCTGGGGATGGGGAGACACCTATTATCAACAAGAGAGCCTGAATGAAGCATATTTGCATATCTAACCCTTAACTGTACCCCCACAATATCATAATAAAAAATATTGATAAAAAAAAGAAAAAGAAAAATATTCCATGCTTATGGATAGGAAGAATCAACATTGTTAAGATGTCCATCCTACCAAAGACAATCTACAGATTCAACACAATACTCATTAAATTACCAACATCATTCTTCTCAGATCTGGAAATGACAATACAGAAATTCATATGAAAATATAAATGACCGCAAATAGTCAAAACAGTGCTTAGCAAAAGAAACAAAGTAGGAGGCATCACACTTCCAGACTTTAAACTTTACTATAAGGCTACAACAATTAAAACAGACTGACATTAGTTCAAAAATAGGCATATGTACCAATGAAACAGGATAGAGATTCCAGGAATCAAAACCTCAATTTCTCAACCAACTCATCTTTGACAAAGCCTCCACCAACAACCATCGGGGAGAGGAAAACCCATTCAGTAAATGGTGTTGGGAAAACTAGCTGACCACGTGCAGAAGATTGAAACAGGACCCATATCTATCACCGTACACATCACCATAAACAAAAATCAACTCTAAATGGATCAAAGACCTAAATGTAAAACCTCAAACTATAAGAACCTTAGAAAATGTGGGAGACATCCTTATGGAAATTGGAACAGATAACCAGTTCCTGATCAAAACCCCAAGTGTCCATGCCATAAGAGATAAGATAGACAAGTGAGATCTCATCAAACTGAATCTACAAAGCAAAAGAAATCATTAAGAGAATGAGGAAACAGCCAACAGAATGGGGAAAAATATTTGCCAATTGTTTATCTGACAAAGGCCTAACATACAGGATCTATGAGGAGCTCAAATGTACCAAAAGGAAAAAACAGGCAGCCCCATTAAAAAGTAGGCAAAAGACATGAATAGACACTTCTCAAAAGAAGATATATGGGCAGCCAACAGACACATGAAAAAGTGCTCAGCCTCACTAATCATCAAAGAAATGTAAATCAAAACCACACTGAGATACCACCTAGCTCCAGCAAGAATGGCCATCATTAGTAAAACAATAACAGATGCTGGTCAGGATGCAGAGAAAAAGGAGTGCTTCTGCACTGCTGGTGGGAGTGCAAACTAGTGTAACCCTTTGGAAAACAGTGTGGTCATTTCTAAAAGAACTGGACATTGACCTTCCATATGATTCAGCAATCCCCCTACTGGGAATACACCCAGAGGAACTCAAATCATTCTATAAAAAAGATATCAGCACACACTTGTTTATTGCAGCACTATTCACAATAGCAAAAACTGGAACAATCGTGCTGCCCATCAAAACTGGACTGGATTTTTAAAATGTGGTACATATACACAATGGTATATCATGCAGCCATAGAGAAGGACAAGCATTTGGACTTTGCAGCAGCTTGGATGGATTTAGAATCTACCAAACTCAACGATATAACACAGAAACAAAGAACAGAGTACCACGTGTGCTCACTCATAAGTGGATCCTGAACATTTATCATAATACTATAAGAAAGGGATTGGCAGTAGCTGCATACTGCCAGAGCGGGGGTGGCGGTGGGGGTGGGAGAACACAGTATCAATAAGGTACCTGATCTCAAGCAGGCAAAGTGGGGACCAAAGGGAGGCCCAAACGCTACCTGTAAGATGACCACTTGTTTACCTAATCCTGAACTGTACCCCACATCTTTAAAATAAAATACTTAAAAAATAATAATAATAAAAAATAAAATCTGCTACTATGAAGCAAGTTATACAATCAGTTTTACTATAATGAAACTGACTTCATGTTTCCTAACACCATCATACACTGCTAACCATTCAGCTCTCACTTGGAAAATAGGGTAGTTGTGAACAGGGATTATAAAGCATCACTCAGATAGAGCCTTCAGTGAACTTCTGAATGGTAAAGATGTCTTTATATGGTGAAGCTAACTTTCCAAAAGAAAAAGTGTTTTTTTAAAGCAAATGGACCTTCATGTTCTATGAGGAATATCTACCTTTGATATTTTTCCTTTAAGCGGTAATGAACACTAAAAGACTCACCAAAGCACTCATGCTCCTATCTTTTTTGGGCTCTACAGCAAGTACAACTTGATCTCGTTCATATTATGAAACTCTCCTTCAATCTAAAGGAGAAACTGCCAACATTATCCATTAACATTTGCTTCATTGAAATTAACCGGCCTGACTGCTTTCATAACACGTTTGGGAGAAGAGTAAAGTTCCCAGGACAGTGTAGACAAGAACATGCTTTTTTCTTGTTTGGATAACACTACAATTAGACCATACAAACTACTGACTATAATTGGATCTATGGGACACTGTCCCTGGAGTTTTAGAATTTGTAATACTGTACAACTAGATTTCTAACCTTAATTTGCTGCACGAATTGGAAACTTCAAAAACAAGTAACTCAAGTGTCCTTACAAAGCCAATGGCTTGTTCTTTGGAGGATGTTTCTGTAACTAATACATTAGGACAACTACAGTAATATGAAAGAAATCTGCCATGTATCGCCCACCATTTGAGTATCTGTCACCATTTTCCTGGGTTTGAGAAGGAAATTCTGGGCTTGTGTATAAATGTTCAAGGCTCTGTTAATTTGTGACTGCAGAAATTTATAACTTTTAAAAAATTTATTGTTTTCCAAAATATTTTGGATATACTTCTGAGTGGAAGAAGAAACTTTGAACTTGGAACACAGAATAGTTCCTAAGTAAGAAGACCAAGCTGAGCCAAGAGAATCATTTCTAGAGGTAAATAGATATGTAATAATAGATCAGTTAAGGTGTGACTTTGGAAAAGAAAGCAAAATATTGTGTTATTTTTCTTATTCTCTCTTAATGTTTACGTAGTAAATCCTCCTCCCACCCCAACATTGGCAAAAGTAACACTTTGAGGATTTATCTTTTGACTTCCTGCTTAAGTTTTTTGTATTAATGACAGATTCCTTCAAACATATATTATTATCACTAACTTAAAGAAGCATTTAAGAACAGACCACAAGTTCATATAAAGAAAACATGCCAGATATGTGAAGGGGAGATCCTTTGGCTTACATATAATATGTGATGTTAATCCATCTATATATATACACAGATGACTATAACACAATAAAATGTTCCAGGCAAATTGGACATCTGTAACAGTTTTTTTCTTCCTGGGATTTTCCCACTACCCCAAAGTTGAGGTCATCATATTTGTGCTGTGTTTGCTGATGTATCTGATTACCTTGCTAGGCAATGTTATTCTGATCTCCATCAGCATCCTGGATTCCCATCTTCACAGCCCCATGTACTTCTTCCTCAGAAACCTCTCCTTTCTGGACATCCTGTACACCTCTTCTGCTCTCATTCCAATGCTGGCAAACTTTGTTTCAGGGAAAAACACCATTTCATTCTCAGGATGTGCCACTCAGATGTACTTCTCACTTGCCATGGGCTCCACTGAGTGTGTGCTCCTCTCCATGATGGCATATGACCGGTATGTGGCCATCTGTAACCCCCTGAGATACCCCAGCATCATGAACAGGAGGGTCTGTGTTCAAACTGCAACTGGCTCCTGGGCGACAGGCTTTCTCACTGCCCTGGTGGAAGCAATGTCTGTGCTGCCACTGTCTCTCTGTGGTAATAACACCATCAATCATTTCACTTGTGAAATTCTGGCTATCTTGAAATTAGTTTGCGTGGATACCTCCATGGTGCAGTTAATCATGCTGGTGATCAGTATACTTCTTCTTCCCTTGCCAATGCTTCTCATTTGTATCTCTTTTGCCTTTATCCTCGCCAACATCCTGAGAATCAGCTCAGTGGATGGACGAAGCAAAGCCTTTTCTACATGTGCAGCCCATCTGACTGTGGTGGTTTTGTTCTATGGGACAGCTTTCTCCATGTACCTGAAGCCTTCAGCTGTAGATTCACAGGAAATAGATAAATTTATGGCTTTGGTATATGCTGGATTCACCCCTATGTTGAATCCTATCATCTATAGTCTACGAAATAAAGAGGTGAAAGTGGCTGTAAAAAAATTGCTGATTAGAAATCCTTTTAATACTCTCTTAATTCCTATTCTCAAATAATGTTGGAACAAGCAGACTCATCTAGATAATCTCCAACATTGTCCAGAAGATTGCATGGGAGTTAACTCAAACCAAAACCATAGAAGGTATTTATTTTTAATAAGAGCTCACATTATATCTTCTATCTTGATTTGCCTTGTAAGAAAGACTTTCAGATTAATGAATTATCTATGTGAAATTAATTATGTTTCCAGGAAAGCAATGAACATATATATATAATATTAACTTAACATCCATTTTAATATTTTTTGCTTTATATTTGACTTGCTATAGCATCTTAGTGTCCAACTATGGCATAATCATGGCAATACCTAATATATCAAACATGTAAAATTTTGAAACTAGTACATTTTGAGATAATTTAGTCTAAATAATTTGCACTGCCTCTGAGTTTAAGGAAAAAATGGTTATTTTTAAATGTGTGGATACAATTCAAGTCATGTATACACATAAATTAAGGTGTATATGTGTGTAAGTGTATAGATAGAGTGTGTATATATAAAATGTGTGTTTGTGTCTAATTTGTGAAACCAAAACACCATTGATTTTGGAATTCTTCCTAGCTTCCATAATGGAAAAGGTATGGTTTTAGATTTAATTAAATATATTATGATTTTTTAAATTTGGAATATGCATGTGGGGAATGAATAGCATCTGTGTTTATGCAAATATGTCATAACAAGCATTGACACAGTTGTAATCCTATGTATGAAGTGAAATCAATGTATTACATTTGGGAGATCTTGAAGTGTTTCTGGATATAAGATCAGAATACTCTTATACTTCAGTTGTCTCAGGGAATCTGTCAACACACTCACCATCCACATAATTGTTTTTCTTAAAGCATGCTAAATTGACTAACTAAGGCTGAAGAAGTGAAATATTCCTACTGTTCAGAGACTACCTTGCAAAAGAAATTATATATGAATGTAGACACATATTGTAGAAAAATATTTATGAGTGTATTTAATATATGTGAGCAAAATTACATAAATTAATTTCACCAATGTTGCATTTTGAAGCACTTTGTCTTTTCTCTCACTGGAGTTGGAGAATAGTGAAGCCAGCATGTACATATTACTTTCTCTTTATTAGAGAAGCTTCCTTGGATTTATGTGAATGTTGGCTTTATCCTATGGAGTAGGTACCTCTTGCTAAACAGAGATAATGTCCCTAAGCCTTAGGCTTATGGAGGTTGAGACAAATTACAGATGATTATTACAAGAAGTCCAAGCCTAAGCAAGACAGAGCTTGCAAGAAATGATTCAATTTTAGGTGAATGGATTAAGGATGGAACCACATAGGAGGAAAACATTCAACCTAGGAACTGTACTGGTCATCTTAATCCTTAGCATATGTCAGAAAAAAATTTTTCCTCCTTGGGTATCAGATACCCAGTTTTATTCACTCTAATCTCTCCAAAAGTAGGGACAGGAAATTTATATTGTGAATCAAAGCAACATATTTTAAAAACTTTTCATCCTTTACTTAAGTACTTCTTGATCAGACAATAGTGACTGTGGTGTGAAGCTCTTATTTAGTTGAAGAAGAAGAAGGATTGTTAAACCTATTACCTATCACTCTGTAGCTCAAACATAAAACTAGGAGTTGAAATTATGACTGTGAATTATATTGTTCAGGAAATATCTAGAAAATAAACAGATGAAGATTTTAATGAAAGTTTTCGTTTATCCACCTTATCAATTTTTTTGCTTTAATTTATTTTGTTTTAATTTTTACTTTTTTCATGTCTTTAATTTTGTATCTAGAGAGTCATTGCCAAATTCAAAGTCATATAGATTTTCTCCTTTGTTATTTTCTATGACTTTTATAGTTTTGTATTTTACATTTAGGTCTATGATACTTTTGAGTTAATTGTTGTGATGTGAAAAGTGTAAGCTGTGTTAGATTCATTTCTTTGCATGTGGATATTCAGTTGTTACAGCATCATTTGTTGAAAAGGCTATCTTTATTCCATTGTATTGACTTTTCTCTGTCAAAATTTTGTTAAAATTTCTGTTCTGCAAAATACACTGTCAATAAAACATTTGCAAAAAGTAAAAAAACAAACCTGTTACCACTCAATTTCTACATCGATTTACAAAAACACTAATTCCAGTTAGTCAAAAACATTAAAAGTACATAAATTCATACTATTTGTTTATATGGGTGAAAAGAAACTTGTAAACAGTATTGAAATTGTTTTGTTTCATCAGCTCCAGTGGACATTTAGTGTCTTCTTCAAAGTCTTTATTTATCACTGTTTTAAGGGATGTAATGAGCCAGGAATTACTTGTTGGATAGTCCAAGAAGCCGACTAGAGGCAAAATCCAATGAAATGGTCTTTTCTACCTGTTAGTTCATCACGAGCCTAGAAAGGGTCCTCAGATATCTATGAGAGTCATCTTGTTCAAACAACTGGAACCAGGATGAAGTTAACTTCCGAATATCTCAAATATGTCTTGTTGCTGTCTCCCCAGGATGAAACTACATACATAATCCTGAACTGTGATCTGATTGCTTCTTCATTATTCTATATCCTCCACTGCTACAAGTTTTTAATTATATTTGATGAACATAATTTTATACATTTATGGGATACTATGTGATGCTTTGCTCTGTGAATACAATGTGAAATTATTAAATCAAGCTGATTAACATATCTATCACCTCACTTGTCTATAACTTTTTATGGTGAGACTTCTGCATTTTACTTTCATAATTGCTTTGAAATATACGATAACTTATTATTGACTATAGTTACTTTGCTATGCAGTAGATCTCAAAACCTACTCTACCTGTGTATCTGAAACTTTGTACCTTTTAATCACCAATTCCTCATTTTCTTCCTTCCCACCTCTTCACCACCCACCTCTGGTAACCAACATTTTGCTTGGTACTTTTATTAATTCAGCTTTTAAATATTCCACCTATAAACTACTAGACTCTTTATCAAGAGAAGAAATAGTTTATTAGAATGCGGCTTATAGAATTGCTCCACTTTCCAGTCCTGCACATCTGAGGTAACATTCAGATCGTGTTTGCAATATTCATATTTGGTGTTCTTAGAAGTTTTTCTCACACAGTGGATTGGCTTTAACGTACAGATGAGTAATTTCAACTCCTCATGGAAGATTTACCATTTAAACTCTCAGAGAGCAAGGTTCAAGTTCTTAAGGAGCATCTCCCTCTGGCCCACCCCCATACCATCTTCAAACATTTTCATATGACCTCAGAGACATTTGCTTTTGCAATTACACATTAAGTGGGAATCCATCCATGCCACTGATTCATAAATGTCTGATTAAAGTTTTTATTTTCAAAATATTTCTGGTTTTCTTTTTTTTTTTTCCAAGTTAATAAGCTTTTACTTGGCTTCTGATGTGGTCCGTTTTGTAAGTTTAGCAATATCCTGTCCATTCAAGAACACACTAATACTTGTTCTGCTTTCTTTCTTTCTTTTTTTTAACTAACCTGAAACTTTCCCAAACCATACTGAAAATAAAGATAGCTAAGAATACTTGCTAAATATATTATGGTCAGGCTTAATCTAGATAAATCAAATTAGAATTTCTAGCAAGATACCTTTAATTTGTATGTTCTATAAGATCCAGTGATTTTTATTGCATGAGAATTATAAGAAACTGACACAGAGCACTCAAAGGAAGAGCTTGAACCAAATTGCTGAATGATTTTAGAATGTTTAAAAAGATATATGTCAAGCTGTGAGACTCTCTTCTAAAGAGCATTGTTAAGGGAGGTAATGAATATGGGAAGCACTGGAGAAACCAGTGGATGCAGAAAGTGTTTGGAGATAAAGGTTGCTATTCCTAGCCCTCTTTGGTGGACAGAACTAGAACACACACACACACACACACACCCTTACTCACACGCACGTGTGTGTGTATTACATACGTGGACAAAATTCTATCTGCATTCATTTTTATATCCATTTATAATATTAAAAATCATTAGGTCAATTAATATGTTGAATTTCAACAGAATACATTTCACTCTTTTTTCTTTTCTAAGTTTAATTATATTCTTGAGAAGTTTCAGTGAGAAACTTGACCTCTGTAATCTCTAACATAATTCCTTATTTTATTAATCTGCTGGTATTTAGCCAATCTCCTACCTCCACTGTTACCCACAGCCTCACAAGGATGTCTTCTTCTTCTTACCCAGGCTCTGACCACACACTCTGGGGCTATGCCCCATTATGGACACTTACTCAGGCTCTAACTCCCCACACTCATCCATTCTCACTTACTGCCCTCAAGATTCCACATATCATTCCAGGCTTGGGATCTAATAGCTAGTAAGGGGGCAGCCTCCACATGTGGATGACTTCCTCATTCTGTTTGGACTCTGATTTCTCATGCCAGGCTCACCCTCATGTGAACATCCTTCTCACTCTGCTCAGGCTCTGACATTCCCTACCACATTGCCCCTCTGCCTGGATGTTCTCCTTACTCAACCAACTTTCTTACATGCATGCCTATTATGTACAATCTTATATTTATATTAAAATCAATCTAGTTTTTCATGCCATTGTCTCCACTTATTAATTTTATTTTTCAATTCTTAATATCACTGAGATTAATTTTCTTATCTAGCAAACAGGGTGAGAAATACCTATGTTCAAAGTTATTTTGGGATTAAACATAAAAACATATAAAGTATCATTTCAGGGTTACAGTGTTTAGAAAATCATAGTTACTACACCAATCATTGTTCTTATTATTTCTCCCTCTGCAGTTACTAGAGATGAACAGGGAAACATGTGCCAACATTAAGGGTAAGTAATCAGGAACTAATAATACTGCTATGTTTTATGGGATGTCCTGAAATACTCTGATTTTTTACAAGATTTCACTTAGAGTTTTATAGGTTGTTTTATTTCTCAAATAAGGTTGGAGTTATTTTTCTCCTTATATGCTAGATAAGGAAATTAATCTCAATGAATTAAATTTAGAGTTTGCAGACAGATTGAGGGCATGATGACATTGGATCTGGTAAGAGTGTGAGCCTCTGAATAGGTGAGTGCCC